AGAGAAAGAGAGAGAGAGAGACAAATGTAAACAGCAACAACAGTACCAACAACTACACTAATAGTAGTGACTGATGATGATGAACATGAAAAAGATGAAGACGACTACAACAACGATGGGGGACAATGAGCAGTGATTATAGTGATAATAGTAACTGTAGTAATAATAATAATAATAATAATAATAATAATACTATCAGTGATATTAGCAATGGCAATCTAGCAGGACCATGGCAGGAGGCTCCACCAGGATCCATGAGAACCTGCGAGACGAGAAAGCACAAGAACTCCGGGGAAGAAGTGGAGTTAGTAACATGCATTAATGGAACATGAATGAGTGCAGAAAGAGAGAGGAAGAGAGGAGCTCAGTGCACCATGGGAAATCCCCCGATAGTCTAGGCCTATAGCAGCATAACTAAGGGATGGTTCAGGACTCACCTGATCCAGCCCTAACTATAAGCTTTATCAAAGAGGAATGTCTTAAGCCTACTCTTGAATGTGGTGAGGGTGTCTGCCTCCCGAACCACAACTGGAAGCTGGTTCCACAGGAGAGGAGCTTGGTAACTGAAGGCTCTGGCTCCTGTTCTACTTTTTAGAGACTATAGGAACCACAAGTAGCCCAGCATTCAGAGAACGTAGTGTTCTAGAGGGGTAATAGGGTACTATGAGCTCTTTAAGATATGAAGGGGCCTGACCATGAAGAGCTTTATAGGTGAGGAGGAGGATTTTAAATTCTATTCTACATTTTACAGGGAGCCAATGCAGAGAAGCTAGTACAGGAGAGATGTGATCTCTTTTTCTAGTTCCTGTCAGTACTCGTGCTGCTGCGTTCTGAATTAATTGGAGCGTTTTAATGGACTTATTGGGGCAACCTGATAATAAAGAGTTGCAGTAATCCAGCCTTGAAGTAACAAATGCATGGATTAGTTTTTCTGCATCTGTCTGTGATAGGATGTGTCTAATTTTTCTAATATTACGTAAATGAAAGAAGGCAGTCCTAGAGGTCTGCTTTATGTGGGAGTTAAATGACAAATCCTGATCAAAGATAACTCCAAGATTCCTGACAGTGGTGCTAGAGGCCAAGTTAATGCCATCTAGAGTGACTATATCTTTAGACAGTGAGTCTCTAAGGTTTTTGGGGCCAAGTACAAGAAATTTGTGTGTGTGAGTTTAACATCAGAAAATTGCAGCTCATCCCGGATTTTATGTCCTTAAGACATGTTTGTAATTTAGATAATTGATTAATTTCATCAGGCTTGATTGATAGATATAACTGCGTATCATCTGCATAACAGTGAAAGTTAATGGAGTGATTCCTAATAATGTTGCCTAAAGGGAGCATATATAAAGTAAATAGTATTGGTCCAAGTACAGAACCTTGTGGAACTCCATGACTAACTGTAGTATTTATTGAAGATTCATCGTTAACATGTACAAACTGCAAACGATCTGATAAGTATGACTTAAACCAGCTTAGTGCGGTTCCTTTAATGCCAATTTGATGCTCAAGTTTCTGTTAAAGAATATTATGGTCAATGGTGTAGCAGCACTAAGATCTAATAATACAAGTACAGAGACAAGTCCATTGTCAGAAGCAGTCAGAAGGTCATTATTAACTTTAACCAGAGCTGTCTCTGTGCTATGATGAACTCTAAATCCTGACTGAAAATCCTTAAATAAGCTGTTGCTATGTAATTATTGCTGTTTTCACTGATAAAAACTGTATTTGGACAGTTTACCAATGCTTATAAACTGATTAACAACATTTATTCAACGTATCTGTTGTGAAAACAATTAACAAACAAATACACAACGACATTCTTTTATCATCATTTTAATATTTGAATTGTGACTTTTTACATTAATCATGACCCCATTTCATCTATTGTCTCCTGGTGGAAAAATCCTGTGTCTTAGACATTGAACGCATCAGTGATGTGGAGCAGAAGGGGTCCGTGAAGTGCTCTCCGGTTGTGTTTGTGCGGTGTCACGTGGTTGAAACCGACCGGAAGCTGCTGAGGACACAAACCCACAGAACCCGAGCCAGCTCCGGACAGTCGGCCCCGGTATGTCCACTCTCTGCGTGCTGAGGACTCGCTGCTTCCTCCGGCAGGTCCTCCCCGGCCTGCCCGCCGCCATGCACCGACACTACAGCCTGGATGTCTCCGCTCCGCTGCTCCGGACGCAGGGTTACGTCGACGGCCGCTGGGTCTCCGCAGCCTCGGTGTTCCCCGTTCTGGACCCGGCCACCGGGAAGGAGATAGCCCGGGTGTCGGACTGCGGGCCGGCTGAAGCCAAGCAGGCTGTGGACGCCGCGTACAAGGCGTTTCACTCCTGGAAGCAGTGCACCGCTAAGGTACGGCAGCCGAACTGTACTCGGAAACATTTTCTGAACTCATAGGAACCGAACTTCAATTCGGCCTGTGTGTAATTCACCAAACAACACAGTATTTAGATACAATCCACAGTTTCAGTAAAGGAAGCTGCTGAATGCGTTCATGAAAACATGAACCGTAGCCACAAACACGACATGTTAAATTGCGAAATATTTGAATGGAGTTTGGCGTGAGGTAATTCTCTGCAGGTGTATTTGTGCAGCTCATTAACGGGGTCTGATTCACTGCGAGCTACCTGAGGCTCATCCTGTCAATACAGTGGTTTATAAGAGAGTTTGGAACTGATTGATTATCTGTTATTGATCAGACATTTATTAGTCAACACATTCACATCATACAGGAGGTCCATATCTCAGCATTTAGTTCATTTCTGTGAATAAAACTAAATGAAATAGTTATTTTTAAAGTTTAGATTATTATTTAAGATGTGAACTCACATTCAGCTAAAATAAATCTGACATATTTTACACACACACACACACACACACACACACACACACAATTACAATAACAGCAGAGAACAGCTGATAAACAGTGAACTCTGATATTATATTTATTTGAGATATTTAGATGCATTTTGAGCAGATTATTTCCTGGTTTAAATATTGTGTGTGTGTGTGTGTGTGTGTGTGTGCTGTGTGTCTGTTTGTTTGTCTGTGTGTGTGTTTGTGTTGCAGGTCAGTGATTTCAGGTAATAACTCAGAGAGACAAAGTCCAGCTGTCAGCCAGTCAGTGACACTTTAAGTTTCTCGGTTTGATATTTATTAACAGGATGCAAATGTTTAAAAATGTTTATAAGTAGGGAAATATTCAAACTGCTGCTTCCTCGATAAAGTTCAATAACCTGAATACACTCCCGTTACGAACAGACGTTTTATACAGTTTTATATAAACTTAAACGCTTCTTCATACAAATGTTTCCACCAAGTTTAAATTTACTCAGTTTTCTTCCACTAAATCAGATTATTACATTAAAACAGCTGATGTAGGATAACAAGCATTTTTTAATAATTGAATCTTTACACTTTGAGGATCATTAATAATTATTTGGATGCATATTATCATTAATAAACTGAAATTAAACAAATGTTAAACATTATAATGGTTATATTTTAATAATGATATAAAGTCAAAGTCAGTGGAACAAACTGGAATTATATTGTGTTTAATCTGAATCAGTGACTCTAATATCATTTGTAGAATTAATTTATGTTAACTTATTTTATTAAGTGTGTCATTATCATCAAAATAAACAATAAAAAAAATTAAAAATATATATATATTTTAATTTTGTTTGAAGGAGTAAATTGATATGAAACAACTAGTAAAATATACTAAAATAAAGATTTTTATCATATTTGTAATGTTTCGGTTGAGACCGGCAGTTTGAGACCCCTCCTTTAAGGACTGTCAGAGATTGATCCTGAGATTAATCACAAACAATCACATATATCAATATTTGATTGGAAAAACAATCCAAATGAAGATTAGCACATTAGTAAAGCAGTTTGTTTTTCCATTTACACGTCTGATGGCGACGGTTCAAACTCCAGCGGCTCCTGGAAGATGTTTAAACGAAGCTCTGGTTGGCTGCCGGCGGCGGCCGTATTTGACCTTTGGTGGATGTTTTCCGCTCTGTGAAATATTAATCTGATTTGTTTCAGTGAGCGAGAACCAGATTGATCAAACTTCAGAGTCTCACTCACCTCCGTCCACACGTGAATCCGTCACTGTTCACAGGAATCAAATATTAACTCTGAATAAAAAAACAACAGATGATAGAAGCAGGAAGTCTGAACATTCCCAAGTTCTTTATTTCTTTAAACCTTTTATCCATTTTTAGGTTATTTTATTCAATCGTTT